GGAAGAAAATGGATGGATGGATGGATGGATGGATGGATGGATGGATGGATGGTGGATGGATGGATGGATGGTGGATGGATGGATGGATGGATGGATGGATGGATGGATGGTGGATGTAAAACTTTACTTGCAGACTTTTGACATCATTAACACATCAAAACATTATTTTTGCTGTTTTTTCCTCTGTTTCTGTAAAATGACAGCAGGCTACTGTTTCAGATCACTCACTCTTWTTACTGACATAAAATGTGGTTTTACTCAGGTATGAAGAGTAAAGTAAGCTTGCCTAAAGTAAGTGCCTAAAGTAAGTGACGATAAACATCAGCTCTTTTTCTCCTACAACCCAACCCCTGTGTTGTGCAGAAACAAATGATGATCCTCTGCTGCTGTGTGATTTTGGCCCTGGTCCTGGGTTCATTCGTCTACAGCTTCATCAAATAAGGAGCCAGATGGAGAACCTGCTGAAGTTCTCAAGCAGCTTTGGGTTCATGACATTTCAATCAAAATAAAATAAAATAAAATTGTTTTTATTCTTTCTCAGTAATACTGATGAATATCATGTTCATTTTACATAGTTAAGATTTTCTGTGAATAATCAGTCGAAGTTTATTCTGTGAAGTATTTGACTAACAAGGATAGATATTAAGAGTGAACTAGACTGTTTTAGATGGTTTTGTTAATTTAAATCAGTATTCCCAACCGTCTCTGTGAAAAGCTACTTTACAACCAAAGAAGATAAGAAACGAGACTTTTAAATGTAATTTWGTTTAAAGTTGTGGCTGCCATGCTGGCCCAACCAGTTCACCAATAATAATAAAAATAAACTTCATCATGAAAAGTTCATATGATCTATCAGAAATGTACACATTATTGTGTTAAACTTCTCAGGGATGCAAAAAAGAGCACAAATATATTTAGTCATTGCTTTTGTAATGGTAATGTTTTTTATTTTATTTTGCTGTCACATTATAAATGTAGAAGAGTAGGAGGATTGTCGCAGTGTGAAGTGAACAACGTGGCTCAGATACATCTTTCTTCATTGTTCAAAACAATAAAAAATCATTAGTTTTGTCCAGTTGCTTCTTTATATTTTTTCCTTTCTTACAACATAGAGTGATTATGTACTGTAGAATCACTGCTTTATATGGCTGTGTCCAAAACGACAGGCCGGGTCCTCCGGAGGACCCAGACTACCCGGTCGAGGTGGGCCGGGTCCTTGGTAGACTGGGAAGACCGGAAAAAAAAGAGGCTGTGAATTTGGACGGTCTAGCCTCCCCTCCTTACCCCGGTATACATCATGTCACCTAGCAACCATGATGATGCTAAACAAGCAAACTTAAATCAAAACTAGAAAAATATCAATATATTAGCATTATTAATATCACAAAACTATAAAATTAACTTAAAAGTATCATTTGAAGAACTAATTGACCCGCTGTAGGTTCATGTTTATTTCGCGTTTTTTTATGATAAAAATAATTTTTTAAAAACAAGTC